TGTATCGGGAGGCCCGAAATTTTACGCGTACCGGGTACGTAAGCCAGACCATTCTCACACAGAGGTCTGCAAAGTCAAAGGCATCATGATCGACCACGCTACGAGTCTTGCCATTAATTATGACTGGATACGGTCTTATGTAACGGGGGAGACCCGCGAAGCGGTCGTTTTACACTATGACGCAATACGTCGTACTCCGTTTCACGACGTAGTGACACGCCTCGAATCAAAAACGTGTAAACCGACAGAACTTCAAAAACGGCGGCACGACGGTCGTTTCGAATCCTTGCCGTACGGCTTTATGTAACTAATATTACCAAAAAATTGTAAAAATGTATATACCATCCTAAACAATAATTTGCCGTGCGGCTTTATGTAACTACTATTACAAAAATAAAATAATTGTACAAATGTATATACGACCCTGAACAATATTTTACCGTAGTTTTATGTAACTAATATTACAAAAAAAATGTAAAAATGTATATACAACCCTAAGCAATAATAATACGGATAATAAACGTATTTATTTGAAAAACAAAAATAAATCTCTTTTATCGATCTATCCCCGAAGGCTCTACCAGCCCGTCCACGTTATGTTTTTTTTTTCAGCGGCGCTTCGGACATGCTAGCAGTGCACGGTGACTAGCGATATGGTTGACGCACATACAGGCAGGCAGTTAGTTCACAGGTGCACGATGAGTTCACTAGGGCGAGGGGCTAGCAACGGCACCGCTAAGAGCTAGCACACGCGCGCGACGTACGAGCCTCACGCGTGTCGCGCGCCCGCCGCGGCTCGTCCCCGGCTATGTCGGAGGGCCTATGTAAAGTCCGGTAGACTCTTTAATAGTATATTCGTAATGAGCATCGCCAAATAGCCTCATTTCACATAATGGACATGCGGTGGAAGCACCCATGAACGTCGATGGTGTGCGGTCCAACGGGCTGGGGGAAGATATTTTTCGTAAAGAAATTCCTACGGTTCATCGGGGACATGAGCGACGTGCGCTTCGCGCGCGTTCTCTTCTACTATGCAGAGTGGCAGGAGGGATACAGGGAGTACGGGAGCGCTATAGAGTTTCACGAGGGCCTACCGCAGAACACCGATTACGACAACGATCCACGCCCGAAACTCGTCATCATCGACGATCTCATGAGGGAATCGTCCAATAACACGGAGGTCGATCTTTTTACCAAAGGCAGCCATCCATCATAAGAATATCAGCGTTATCTTTATCACGCAGAACCTTTTTCATCAGGGGCCAGGACAGCGCGATATCTCATTGAACGCCAACTACATCGTTGTATTTAAAAATCCGCGCGACAGAGCTCAGATACAGCATCTGGCCAGACAGGTGTTTCCTGAAAATCCGCGCTTCGTACAGGAGGTCTACCGCGATGCCACGGCCCAACCGCATGACTATCTACTACTCGATTTGAAGCAGTCGACCCGCGATAACTGCCGCTTTCGCACGTGCATGTTTCCTTCGGACACATTCCACTACGTGTACGTACCGCGAAAGAGTATAAAGGGCGGGTACACCGATCGAGACGTACCAGTCATTCGGTTGTAATGGTATCCGGCGCACGCTGCTCTATAGGGCGCAAACACGCCGCTGTGTTGAAGACTATTTGCCATCTGGATAGCTAACAGCGTAGCGCTTTGTTACGAGTGGCCGACTCACGACACGTCAAGTGTATGTGCGAATGTGCTCTGAATATTCTTCGCGGTAATGTGCCTCTCAAGCCGACGCAAAAACGTCGCTTACGAAAACACGCATCGCTGTTGAGACGTTTATCAAGACCGGGTTCAGCCGTAAAAACTAGAAAACGTCTTATCGTTCAGAGAGGTGGTTTTTTACCTCTTCTGCTAGCATCCATACTGGGCACCGTCATATCGAAACTCATAGAGGGAAGTGGATACGGGTATATGCCGCAACTCTTTGCGAGAGAGAGAGAGAGAGAGACAGATCGAGATGGAGCATGCTAAAAAGATGGTTCTCATCCTTCAGGAGAGCGTGGAGCAACAGCACTACTGGTCAATGCCTCATACATCCCATCCCATCAACACCACCACCAGCAGCAGCAGGAGCAGGGTGTCGACACCGTAAACACCGTGCAGACCCCCGGGACCCCCTTCAGCAGATTAGACGCATCCATGAAGGAGATCCTATACTCATCGAATTTCATCGACGAGCGCGAAAAGTGGAAGATGTACAATCAGGTGCTGCAGCGTTATCTACACTTTATCGAGGATCTGCGAAATAACGTCGACGAGGACAGGCGAGGCGATAACGATGCCAAGAAAAAAAATAACAATTTTGTGGAGGATAATGTCAAGAGCTTGACCGACGATGGCGACGACGACATCATCGCTAGCGTACCCCAAAAGTACAGAGCTAAGAATAATCTCTTACTAGGAAGGCTGCGCAACGCTGGTTCGCCACGCATCTCGTGGAGTAAACAGGGCGTTACGCGTATCGGTGGAGCCGTCGTGCAGGACGCCAACATCGTGGATTTAATCAACGACGCTATGCGCGAGAGAAAAACAGTGAGACCGGCGGGGAGTCGGCAGTTTGCGCGGTTCCTCCGTACTGCCGGTATACCGCGCGAATATATCGGTAATCAGCATCTATGGAGGGAGGGGGGCAACACGGGGTCACTCGGTAATCAGACACCGCGCCGTGTAACAATCGTGCCGCGCCCTATTTAGCCGACTCAGAGCTTGTCTGCAGAGGAGGAATTCGGCGAGGCGTTTCAGGAAGTGTTTAGAGACTCCGGGGAAGAAGAGCTCGTAGGGAAAAAATATACGCGATCCGTGTCGGCTGGTACAACTAGTGATACCGAGAAAAAGAAAAGTTTAGAATGGTTAATGCTGCCGTGAATCGGAAGAAGAAAAAGATATCGGCTGATGATAGCCTTCTGAGGCGTCTTTATTACACGCAAGCAGAACTGTCATCGTACGCCGGTATCAGTAACCTACAGCGAGCGGCTAGGGGCGGGGTAAAACGAGTCAAAGGAGTCAAAGGAGTCTGCTCCGCGTCGAAAAAAAAGTAGTAAAAAAAAATAAAGTCGAAATCCAAGAAACCCAAAAATCGTCGTAGGGTCGCTAGTAAGAAGGTAAAGCGGAGTGTGCTGGATATCTTCTCTTAAACGATACCTCTACCATGGCCTTTCTACACGCTCACTCCTTCGAGTGTATGAAATCGGAGCTCGAGCTCTTTACACTACCACCGACACAGACCACTATAGAGAGCGCCCAGTGGATACACTACAACCCCATCTCATCGCTGACCGATGACTCGCCCATTGAATTTGTCGTGCCGGGTAACGGCGACAAGTACCTTGATCTAGCACACACCATGCTGAGTTTACACGTACAGCTGCGCTCCAAGGACACGTCATTAGCGGACGCTCTGAGCAAAGCAGCCCCTGTTAACAATCTGCTACACTTGCTATTCAATCAGGTAGACGTATTTCTTAATCAGAAGCTCGTATCGCCGCCTAATAACGCGTACGCTTACAGAGCTTACATAGAGACGCTATTAAATTACGGGCCCGCCGCTAAGGGGTTACACCTCTCGAGCGTGCTCTGGTACAACGACACACCCGGTCATATGGACGATACAGCAGGCAAGAATATAGGCCTCGCGAATAGGCAAGCGTTCGTCGGTAAAGACAGGACGGTCGATCTGATTGGCCATTTACACTGCGATGTGTTTAACCAAGAACAATTTTTATTAAACTGTGTCGAGCTCCGTTTACGACTTGTACGTACGATAGATGGCTTCTCCCTCATGGATCCCAAGAGCGAGTGCTCTTTACATATAACGGAGACTACGCTACTCGTTAGACGCGCTAAAATAAGCCCTGATATTCTAATATGATATTCTGATATTCTAAATCGCATTCTAAAATGCTGTCTAATACAACGGCCAAGTATCCGCTTACGCGTGTGGAGGTCAAGGCCCTGACGATGCACGCCGGCTTGCACGGTGGCACGACGGATACCGTGATTCTCGGCCAATTACCTAAGCGTATTATAATAGGTTTCGTCGATAATAAGACCTTCAACGGCATCTATCAACTCAACCCGTTCAATTTTAAAAACTATTGTATTAATTTCTTATCGCTGTACGTCGACGGTGTTCAAGTACCCTCAAAAGCCCTGCAGACCGATTTCGGCAAAGCCGGTCTTTACGTGGTCGCGTATCACACCCTCTTCAGCGGCACGGGTATACACTTCCTCAACGAGGGTAATTCGATATCGAGGAGCGCTTACGCAAACGGTTACTGCCTGTTCGTTTTCGATCTTACACCCCATCTCTCGGCAAATAGCAACACCCACTGGAACCTGATCAAGCACGGTAGTGTACGCAACGTGCTGCGCTTCGACGAGCCGCTGGCCGCCACTGTGAACTGTATCGTCTACGCTGAGTGCGATAACGCTTTGGAGATCGACGCTGCGCGGCAAATCGTCGTAGATTACGGCGGCTAAACAATCGAAGAAAATACATAGGTCAGCAGTTTGGGGTTTGCGTCATCATCTTTTGGACACTCGGTATCGCGGGTGATCGTCAGCATCGCCGTTAGTTTCTCGTTAAACGACTTCGAGTTAGCATCATGACCATGGATTTTGTCATCGAAATCGGATACTTCAAAGACTCCGAGGGGCGTCTGGCACCGAAGGAAATCGGCGTCGTGGCTGTGGAAAGAAAATACATAGGCAACTGGATCGTTTCACCGCCCTGTGATTTCAACGAATTACCACCGGCGATCAGAAGCGAGAACAACACCATGTCCCGCTATCAACACGGTCTAGAGTGGTTCGACGGTGGTGCAACGTACAAACAGTTATATAACAATCTCCGAAATATAGCTGGTATTTCGCGGAGCATATACACGCGCGGTCCGTAGAGCGTGCTTTGTCTGCAGACCGTTATGGCCCGGGAGGTTATAAATTTGGATGAAACCCCCAATAATTCACCATACGAGGACTTCCCACCGAATCGTGACCATTACGAGTGCATCGTTCACGCCTGTAAGGAAACCCGAGGATCGTTTACCTGTGCTCTGAACAACGCATTACGCCTTGAATTTTGGCTTCGGAATAACGAACCGCATATATGAACACGCTAGACCTTTACCTCGGTCTTCGCGGTATATCGGCTCATACGATGGGTGTCTACGCAGCTGATAATATCCCGAAACTGGTCGAAACCCGCTGCCATTGTCGCCAACACGGACGATCATACGAAACCAGGAGCGCATTGGGTTGCCATGTACGTGGACGCTGCCGGAGACGATTACTACTTTGACAGCTACGGATTACCATCGCTGAATCATCGCCATGCGTCGAGACTCCAGCGGAATTGTCGATCCTTCCGATGAAATACTCAGCAGCTTCAGAGCGAGACGTCCACAGTGTGCGGCCAATTCTGCATGATGTTTTTACACTACCTTTCCTGCGGCTTCGGGATGCATGCGTTCCAGAATGTGTTTGGTGGTGATTTGCGGAAAAACGATAGAATCGTCAGAGAGTACTACGACGCTTTTGTGCGAAAGAAACGTTTGGTGGATCGCCGGTATGCGCAGGATAACAAGATCTACGGCGGTGGTGGTAGGATACAATATTCACGGTGTAAATCAGGCTACATGAGTTAATGCTTCCCCTTTTTTTTTATGTATTACAATATCATCTTTAAAGTATAGAACCTGTAATAATTATTAATAAGGCGGAGCGATATAAATAATTAAAATATAATAATAAAAAAGGAATAATAAAGACAGTGATGTAATGTAGCGGTAAAATTAAAGGTATTATTATTATTAATAACAGACATAATGTATATTTAATAAAATAGTAATAATTGTGTGTATATATTGTGACGTGATTTTTCGAATCATAGTCCTAAGGCGGCTCCGGTTACCGATACAGATAACGTTCTCGATTTCTGGTTCCCTTCGAGTCGCCACCCTGCTCAGAAACTACGCTCTCGGGTTGATTCGTACAGTTATGTGAAGGCTCTCATAAGATTTCGTTATTGTTCAGTTCAGGTCCAGGTGCTCGAATCTGCCGTGGGGAGATAGTCTCGACGTACCGAGTTTCCCGGTAGAGGAGAGTACCCGACGGAAACGTCTCCACGGACCGGCAGAAGCCCGGGTGAGATACCGGCGCCCCGCTGGAGATGGGCAAAGGGCTGTAGAGCGGGCGAAGGTAGTTTTGATACGGTTAAGGGCAGGAGAGGAACCTCCTGTCCGAATTAAGGATGTGGTACCCAGCTGTCGCCCGATGTCCTGGGGAAGCGGCCGTGGAGGATCTCCAGAAGTTACGTACCGATTCGTTAAGGAACGCTCTCGATTTGGTTTAAAGGGACGACTCGAAGGAGATAGAAGAGTTGTAGGTTATAAGGCTCTCGACCAATTAGAAAGATTAGTTCCCGGATTTGGCTATTGTCAAAGCAGTCTGTCTCGGGGCACCGACCGAGGTGTCACGGGCTGGCTCGTGCTCCCGTGCTATCTGTTGATAGTTTTTCTTGCCGTGTTTCGCTACGGTATAGCAAGTTCTCGATTCGTATAGTTCTCGCGTTGTTTTCGCGATATCCAGGCGATTCTATGAATTCCTGTGAGTGTTCCGGAGTTGTAGTACTGTGCCTTAGTGCAGTGCTCCTCAGAGTGTCCTTTGAATACAGTTCTCGGCCTCCACGGATTAGCTGCAACAGCTCCGGTGAGGACTCCCAATTTATTAATTGGTGAAGGGATCTCGATAGATAGTTAAGATTCGTTCTGATACGTTCTCGGTTCGTCGCTCTCTGTCTCTCGCACTACTTGCCGGACTCTTACTCCGACTCTCTCTACCTCAAACCTAGCAGCCTGAGCGGCCGTGCATTTCCGTAACCGTCCGCTCCCGTTCGTGTATCCAGTTGCGTTTGCTGATTTTACGCGTCCCCAAAATCGACAGGATCCGTTAAGCTATCGCCTTGTCTGATAGGTTCCGTCAGAGCTCTCGTTCTTGGTGGAGTTGGGCCTGTTCCACCCCAACTCCCAGTTTATACCTACTCGTCAGTTCCCGATGAAAAAAAGAATTGGCTGGCGCCCACCTGGCTTGCAGATGCACGAATGACGGGTGGATGGCTGAAGGTAACGTAGGTTGGTTCTCGAAGATCGTTCTCGTATGTTTTGCTATCGGTGTCGGGTCATAAGTTAGTAATTACGTTAAAATATATATGTAAGCAATTATTTAGTAAGTAAGCAAAAAAAAAAAGAAAATAGTGATAAATATATATGTATAAATAGATGCTAGTGCTTATAATAGGTGTAGTATATAAAAAATTATGTAATTACAAGCGCACGGCTACCACCTCATCACCACCCTGTGCTATGACCACGGCCCTGTAGTCCACATAGTAGCTAATACAAGCTATACAGTCCAAGGGGTTATACGCATGCAGGACGCTCCGTTCGCATCGTACGCACCCCGCTTCCTATCGGTATGGTGAAATCCAGCAATATATAATGCAGCTTTGCCGGGGTGTACTCTACCCTGATTTCGGGGGCCTGCATGCGCATGCAACAGTATCATAATTTCACATGGCCGCGGACATATAGGCAGCCGTAAAAGCATTGCCCACCGTGGAGGGGAGCGAAAAACTCGGTCAACGGTGGTCGAATACCGTCGAGTAGGGGCCCCTCAAATGGTCCCTCCATCCCTAAGGGCGGTCTATCGGGTCTCTTCGGTGGCATAGTCTGTAAAAATTTCAGTTTCTTTAATAAATTTGTTTAAAGCAAATAAAAAAAACCGTATAGTCTTATTACACTTACCGTTCCAATAGCAGTAATAACCGGCGTTAGGCGTAGTGATGCTACCGTACTGGTTGGCCTGCTGTGCAACGTGTAGAAATAAGGGTAAAAGGTGGGAAATGTACGATACATTTTTAAAATCGAATAAAAACGTGTACTAGCTTAACGCTGTTGTACTGTTACGTCCTATGCGTGAGCGACCGTATGCGGGAGCATCAGGGAGCTAGCATAGGTGTTGAGATCAAGGATCACGTAAAAGGTATTGGGTACTTGCCACTTTAAGGTCCTAAAGCACGCCTATTTGCGTTTAGGTCACTTGGTCGGTAGTTAAGATGAGGATCACAAACAGTTACTAAATATATTGATTTAGAAAACTCACTCCTTCTACGGGAGTTTGGTTGAAACTACTGGTAAGGGGTTTATCTGGGTTTAGGAGCTAGTAAGTTCAGGTGTCGAAATCAAGGGAAGAAAATATAGTTTAACTCAATATAATGAAATGATAAACAAGAGTACAAGTAACTGTCGTAGTTATATACAGTAGTAAGTGTTCGTTAATCTACTAACTAAATGAAATCCGAATAACAATGTATGTGTGATCGTCAACTTCTGTAGTGTGAGTTACAAAGATATATTGAGACGTTTCGTGATTTTTGAGTGCTAGGTATCACGAGACTTTTTGTAAGGTTTGTGCACTGGGCAGGCGTCGTCAGAAACAATTTAGACACGAGTTTTTAAGATCAACAAAATAATGGTATATTGTCCTATAAGTTACAGACTAGGTATCCTTAATATTCTATTTAGCTCTCTCTCACTCACACATACGCTTTATAATTGTCTCTAGCTTACCAGTAGTACCACAGGCGACAAGAAGTGTTTTTGTTTACTTTATTCTCTCTCCTAGCCTTTTGGATTAGGAAGAGGTATCTGGAACCACACTACAGCAGATTGCAGAATGCGTCCGAAGACCGTGGTCCAGTTGAAGGTTAGGATGATAATGATTCGGGACCCACAGGTGATCACGATGATCCCCGTTCGCCGAGCCAATTATCTTTGGGGTGGAGATGAAAGTGCTATCACCACAATACAG